GCCAGGAGCCCCCAGTAGCGTCCTTGCTCCTAGTAGCCAGGAGCCCCTAGTGCGTCCTTGCTCCTACTAGCCAGGAGCCCCCAGTAGCGTCCTTGCTCCTAGTAGTACGGCCAGGAGCCAGTAGCGTTCTATGGCCAGGAGCCCCAGTAGCGTCCTTGCTCCTAGTAATATGGCCAGGAGCCCCTAGTATGTAGCGTTCTTCTTGCTCCTAGTAGTACGGTCAGGAGCCCCTGGTAGCGCTCCATTCGTACATATTTTTTTGGTGTTTTTGGTTTTTGTGGTCCAGTCACATCAGGCACGCCTGCCTTCATCCGTCAGGCTTTTGCTCAAACACTGTTGCCTGCGGTTGAAGGTTCAAGGTTGAGCCTCACTGATGGCCGCGTTTGATCTACCTCATCCTTCAATGGGAGGCCAGTAGCGTCCTTGCTCCTAGTAGTACGGCCAGGAGCCCCTAGTAGCGTCCTTGCTCCTAGTAGTACGGCCGCTAGTAGCGTAGATGCTCCTAGTAGTACGGCCAGGAGCCCCTAGCAGCGTCCTTGCTCCTAGTAGTACGGCCAGGAGCCCAGTAGCGTCCTTGCTCCTATTACTACGGCCAGGAGCCCCTAGTAGCGTCCTTGCTCCTAGTATTGCGGCCAGGAGCCCCTAGTAGCGTCCTAGTAGCGTCCTTGCTCCTAGTATTACGGCCAGGAGCCCCTAGTAGCGTCCTTGCTCCTAGTAGTACGGCCAGGAGCCCCTAGTAGCGTCCTTGCTCCTAGTAATACGGCCAGGAGCCCCAGTAGCGTCCTTGCTCCTAGTAGTACGGCCAAGAGCCCCTAGTAGCGTCCTTGCTCCTAGTACGGTCAGGAGCCCCAGTAGCGTCCTTGCTCCTACATAATATATAAGAAACTATATTATGAGAATCTTAAAGCGGCTGTGTGAGAGCCTCGCAGAAAAAGAGCACATAAAGGAACTTCCGAATACTTCCCCCAAAGAAAACAACACCGACAATTGGCTTTAAGACTTTTTTTGGAACACAACATATGCTGCATTTACAACTAGATATAGTTAGATATGTACACACACATTATACAGTATACATTACACTAATCCGAATACATACATATTAATATACATAATAGTATCAACCAAAAAGTCCTTTGACCGACTCGGTTTGCGACACCCGAAGGTCTTGGGCCCCGAGGAGCTCGTCGTCCATGGCCGTCCTCGGCCTTTCCGGATGCCTCGGTCGGGGCCGCTGGGCTGGGTGTCGGGGGCCAAAAAATATGTTTTTTGTTCCTTTGGACGAAAGATTGATCTGTGGATTTACTATAATGTATAAGAAAATATTCAGTGTGGGGCTGTTTGGATCTTGACAGATTTGGGAATCAAAGCTTATAACTTGTGAGTTTTCTGGACAGATGGAGAAGATGGATGGATGGCGCGACAGAAGATGGACGATGTGTTTTTGCAGCTAAATCCTTTCTGTCAGGTTTTCGGAGAAATGCTCTCAGTCCCTGCCTTTGGAGCTTTTGCGACATGGCTTTGGGTGCCATCCGCGCTGGGAGTGAACCTGCATGAAGGTTGATGATAGAAACACAGCTAATATTATCACAGCTCAACCGTTTTAAATGGCTTGCTCAGCATGGCTCCTGAGCTCTCTTCAAGGCTCTTGAATCCAAAACTAGAAGTGTACACTGGAAGCAAGTACGCACCCGAAAGTGCGGGTGAACTTGAGACACAAGACTTAAGTGTAGAGTATTTTGAGGGCAGCACCATTAACCAACAGATTTGGTATATATTCTGCTAGATGCGTTGCTTGCAGCCAGATAGGAGCTTGATGTCAGTGGGTTTCTCTTTTCCCGGCATATTCTGCAACATGTGTCTTCACATTTCTCCTGCTATTCTCGCCTCTTGATGTAGCTCACCAACTTGAGCCCACCAGGCCGGGTGGACTGGGTACTGGGAGTTTCATATGAGACATCCGGACGTGCAGGTTTAGATGGCGCCCAGTCTTCTTCTCGGGATTTCTGTTTGGTTTTGTTGTGTTCTTTGTGTTTGGTTGCAAGCACTGAGGAATCGCAGATGACCAGCAAACAAGACTGTCAATGTTTGCTCCTTAGGACGTTCACGAGGTCACGAGGTGTTTCTTGGTTGATGGATCTGGTTGGACCTCGATGAGAAACCAACGCCTTGGGAAGTCTTTGCCAATATTTAGACTCTTGGTAGGATTAGGATGTCAATACAATATAGCATTGTTGTTCTGGCATTGACATAGCATCATATGTCTATAACCATACCCTAGAAACAGCTACTCAGTTTCTGAGGCCTGGTGCTCAAAAACAATCATCTCCGGCTCTTTCCCACTAGCTATTCCCACAACTTCCATTTTCCGGGGCCCTTTGAGCCACTTCAATACTAAACAGTAACAGGGGAAGTTTGTGGTGGCTCTTGCTGAGTGGGAGCAGTGTTTGTGCATGTCTTTGCTCTATGTATTCGCTTGCATAATGAATTCATAAATCTTCAGCACCGCTTGCCGAGGGGCACACCAATGAAGTCAAGTGCCGGAAGTGCGTTGCAGTCCTTAATGAGCACTATGGCTCAGAGTCATCAGCTGTTGATGTGAGAAACGATTTTGTGCATACGTTGACACCTCTTACTTGCATTATACAGTCTTGTGTTTGCCACATGCTGGCAATTGTTGCTTGTCACTTCTTTGTGCTTAGGAAGACGTTGACAAGTACAATATATAGTTGACAATCTAGTTCGACATAACATTTATGCGAGCGCTCTTGTTAAAGGCCAAAAGAATTGTAGCCTTCGTTCTCACCTCTTCACCTCTGAGGCAAGGGAGCTAAGTCAAACTCCCCAAGTCCAAGTGGGAGTCCCAAAATGCAAGGCAGGAGTCCGTTGAAAGTCATTCTAATGCAGGAATGTAACTCGTTTCAACAGATCTATTGGACACTGTTTTATTTGCTTGGTAAGACATGGTAAGACTACAGGTTCCACAAAGCAACTCAAAAACTAAAACACTATATGAGAAGAACATCAGACGTCAGAACCTCAGCGAACATCGCAGGTGGTGAGACCGGCAACAGGCAAGATCCAAGTATATTTTGTGCTGCGGATTGTATTTTTGATGGAAAAAGGAACCAAAGATATCAAAGTGAAAGCCCAAAGACATCATTGAAGGCCCAAAGTGGCCACGGACCAAAAAACTGTCGTATCCAGTGCGCATGGACCTTGGAACAGGAAACGAACACTGGATCACTCTATATTATCCTCAATACCAATTCCCGAAAGTTCCCGAGTGGGATTGCTTATTTTTGGAATCATCTTTTTAAAGAACATGTTTGTGCACTAAGGACACAACTCAAAGCAACTTCAAAGGCTGGTGCCTTGCTGTCCTCTTTGGCTCCTTAGCAAGATTTAGGTGCAGATCTATGAGATGCATGCTGAATCTCTTCTTTAACTTGGTTTGTGGACGCAGCTCCCTTTGTATTGGGAACTTGATCTGAGGTGACCAGCCCAAAGGCCGATCCACCGTGTCCACCGGGTAGGCCCGGCGAAGTCGTGCAGCTTGGCCAGGCAAAGGCAGCTCCCAAGGAGGCGGTCAGTCGCTGAGCCGGAGTCGCCATAAGCCGAATTGATGAGCACTTTGTGGAGTGTGTTTGGTGTGCTCGAAATGCTTGTGGCAATCAAGGCGAGTGATTTGATGGACATGGTGTGCGGGTAAGCTTTCAGTGAACCATCCATGTTCAATACCTCTTGACCACAACCTTCGCTCAATAATCTCAATAGCCATAAGTAATAAGCAAGGCCCAGAAGTTCATAGAAACTCAAATGAGGATGGGTCTATCGAGTCATATCGAGTCTCAAATCTCAGTATCCCCAGGAATCTGCAAGGCCAACGCACAGCGACCGAGCTCTGGAAGAAGCCGAGGCGTTTCTTCGCAATTTCAAGCGGTCAACCAACTCTGTGTGTAACATGCACACCATGCAATTTCATTTCTTTGCAATTTTCATTGCACAACATGCATTCCGATCCAGGCAAAGGTTCCTCTGCTGGGATCTGGCGATGGAGCTGTTGGACTGGTCGCGAGCACGCAGGAACGCAGCAAGAGAACTGGTAGCCATTCCATTGTAGCTTACATTTTGTTGAGACATGTTGAGACATTGTCGAACGCGCTGTTGGTCAAGCCCAAGATTGTTTCCAGCTTGTTCACAAAGGACAAACAGCAGAATCAGTGCCGCTCAACCAGGCTTCACCCACCCAATGGCCTGCAAGTCAAAGTGTGGAAGCTCCGCATTCAGATTGCTCCCGCGCTCTTTCTGCCCGGGCCTTTGTACAACTAAGATCAAAGAAGGGTAGTGAGTCGTGGTCCATTTTCAATCATGTTCAAGTTACTTTTTGTTGGCCTTTCCACGCCTTTGATGTTGATTGAGGTGGCTGGCGCCATTTGTCTTTTGCTCCTTGTGGTTGTCAGCTCCTGAGAGCATATTGTCACCGTGGAGTTTGCAGCTGTGTATAAAGCACTGGAGTCGTCTTTGTAAAATAGAACACGGCAGTTTTTTCATTTTTAGATGTTCTTTTAGCTGTTTAATGTTGGCCCTGGCAAGCTGCCCAATCTCGCCCGATCCTTCCTGGGCGGATCCTCGCGAGCCGCGGAACCTTTGTCCTCGTATGTCCAGAAGCGGATACCAAGGTAGTGGCAGGGATCGTGTTTCTGGTCAAGCCACAAGTTGCTGCCTCAAATACTTCAGCTGAGCTAATTTCAGTACTGCACCTGGAAGTGCCAAGGCACACCCACACCATACTCAGGGCAGCTTGCGCAAAGAAGGACATGAGGCACAGGCTAGACACGGCTAGACTATTTCTGGACCCTTTGGCCTTAACTAAGTAGTAGTGGTGGTGGTGGTGGTGGTCGTCGTCGTAGTCGTAGTAGGAGTGGTAGTGGTAGTGGTAGTGGTAGTAGTAGTAGTAGTTGTTGTTGTGGTGGTGGTAGTTGTGGCAGAAGTAGAAGAAGTAGAAGTAGAAGCAGTAGTAATCGTCGTCGTGGTACTACTACTACTACTACTACTACTACTACTACTACTACCGCTCCTCCTCCTCCTCCTGCTGCTGCTGCTGACAAGGACGTTTCCTTTCCATGTCCAACCGATATGCCCCGATCACCGACTCTGCTGCGCTGTTTGCAGGCAGCGTCAACATCTCAACGACCTGTGGTCTCGACACGAAGCGAGGCGTCCGTTTCAAGCGATTTCTGTCGATTTCTTGGACCTAGCTTCTTCAGGTCGTCATAGTTTCGGGCCGTCTTCGGTTGGGATCGCAGCAGGTAGTTGATTGAAAGGTCGACATAAGGCCCATGTCATCAAGAGCTTTATGTTGTTCGCGAAAGTAAAGACTGTTTTCACGAAAGATCCTCACATGATACATCTTTACTCTATCTCAATACTATTTACTTTATACGTCTTGATACTTCCGTCACTCAGGAGGAGCTTTGACCCACACACACAGTTATATTATATATATATATATATATAATGGTAGCCCCCGCGCCGCGTCCCACGCGGTCGCCGCGTCCCACGCGGCCTTTCACTCGCTCGGGCCTCAAAGTCCCTGCGCAGTCGCTCGTTGACACTCCCATTAAGTGTTTTTGGTACACGCGTCGAATGGTGCTGCCGGGGATGACAGACTGGCTGGCCTCATGATGCATTCCACGGGCACGGAAGTAATCGACCAAATCCTTCAAGGCCGGTGACCCACTCTGGTAGTGGGACTGACAGTAATTGCGGTAGCTGGCCAAATCTTCACTAGTGCCCTCAAACATCTCGGCATAGCTCTTGGAGCCTTTGTACTTGCCAAAGGACAGCGCTGTCTTTCCCCACTGAGTGATTGACGACACTCCATGTGGCAAGTCGCCACTTGGACATGGACTTAAATCAAGGCCTTCTCGGAAGGCATTGGCGGGTCAGCAGTCATATAGCCGGAGCTGTATACCACAGGGGTCGATGGAGCCTTGTCCTCACGCAATCGCTTCGATCCGTCCGACATGGAGCCAGAAAGGGAAGGTGACCAAGCCTCGTCCAGGGCCAGATCTTCAACATCACGTACGCGGCGCATGATGGCATCCCATGCACCACACTTCCTGGCCTTCATGGTATAAGGCGGAAACTTTTTTCTGCTTCAGCCGGTGTGAAGGCACTCTGACCGGCGGACATCGCCATGGTTCCTCTGTCACAAGCGAAAGGATGACACGATTGGCCTTCGAGAGTCGGAGAACCTCGTTGAGCCATGTGTCCACATGTCTTCAGCATCACCAAAGCGAACTGCTAAGGAATGATATACACCAAGCGTATGCTCTATGGACTAAACACAAAAATAGGCCGGATGAAAAATGAATTTCATATGCACTGAGGATCACGAACTGCACCTGCTACATCTCATTCTCCCAAGATGACACATACCCATGAGTGCTTGCGGCACTCTCCCCAGGACTATCATGTCTATCATTAGAATGGTGTGCGGCAGGTCCTTTCATGTTCATGCTGCTATCCTCAGATCGAGACTGCGACTTCGAGCCGGAGGCGAATTGTTTTCTTCTATCACGTTCTTGGGCTCTGCGCTGCAAAACAAGCTCTTCTGGGCTGATTTGGTACCGTGCGGATCTGAGACAGGCTCTCAACAAATCGAACGCCTCTGGGCTTTCTCTTGTTAGAGCGTCGGCTAACATTCTGTTCGTTGGAATCCACCTTAGTGTGGCTTGCGTCCGACGAATGCTGTCCCCTAGTATGACAATGTCGATGGCGGCGCGCCTATCATCCAGAGTCGGGGATGACTGGGAGTTAAGGTGGTTTTACAATGACTTGCAGTCAGTCACAAGCATGGTCAAACGGTTTCCCAAACTACCCCATAAGCTTTGTGGGCACCTAGAACCATCCAAGGCCTCTGAAAGGATGAGATTGGTCCACTCCAACATGCTTGATGCTACGGACATGCTTTGGGCCTCTGCACTTAATGTTGAGGATACAACCCGTGGTAACCGGAAACTCTTCCAGTATGCTGGGGACCATTGGCAGTCTTTACCTAGGTCCACATCTTTACGCGCAACGCTGACGATAAAACCTGCTTGAGTTGCTCCTGCTTTGGCGTTCGCGAACGCTGCGTCCGAATGACACATGAGAGCCAGATCACTAGGCCTAACGGCGCAGAAGCGAATCTCTTGGTCCGAGTGTTGCTTCGCACGTCGGACTGCGTGGTTCGCAGCTATGGCACCTTCCACACAAGATTGTGGAAAGGATTGTTGCGAGAAGGACACCTGAGTTGCTAGATCAGGTCTGGATTGGTTTGCTAACCAGTTTAGACTGCCGTTGATGGCTCTGGTCAATTCACTTCTTTGGCATCGAGCGCCACATCCCGAACATGAAGCTGAGCAAGAGGATGAAACTTACCTTGTCCCGGAAGATGGACGTTTTCTGTTGTGTCGGGGTCTCCTCAAAAAGCGTGTTATTTTGGATGGTGCCCGATGGTTGAGCCCCTGCCAAGTCCCGAAATCCCTGCCGGTCATGCCCCGTTGCGGAGTCCGGGCAAGAACGACCGCAGGCTGCGGGGCAGATGCTTCTGTGGTCACACCCAACCGCCAAGAAGGACCCAAGAACCACCCAGGAAGGTTTAAAACAGGTGGCAGCTTCTTTGATCTGGGACTGGAAGAGATGTGCAGACCAGATGTGGAGCCAAGGTCTGAAAAAGCAGGCAGCAGGGTCGTTTGATCAATCAAGCATCCTGATGTCTTTGTGCACTTTCTTGAGTCTTTGACCTCCTAAGACGGGGACCGCAAGAATCGGCGCGGAACTGCACCGGCGCGCGTCCGGGGCCTCCTACTCACAATCTATATGCCATGCTGCCTCGAGAATGGCCCCTTGCCCGTATGAGCGTCTCCATTCGGCGTGTAAGCGTACTGCTGCGGGTTACCCTGCTTCGACGTCTCGCCGAGCTAAGTTTCCGAGGCCACGACTTTGTAGACTTGCCCAAAGAGGTGGTCAGAGAGGTGCGCAGAGATGTTGATGGCATCTGTAATGCAGTTGCCATTCCACTAGCTGAGCTCTTTTGCTTCCTCCGGCGGGGTCGACTGCTCCAACATGTGCGTGTCCAAAACGTCGCAAGCCCTAGACGGTGCCCCCCCCGACAGCTGGTCGCGAAGAGGCACCTGCAGGTGCACCGGACACAGATCCTAGCAGAGAGCGCAACGCTCTCTCACGGTCATCATGTCTTTTGCTCGTGGAATGGCGCTCGGTAAACCCGACTTACCAGTAGGCGACACGCATGTCTACTTCCCAGTGCAGATTGCGCAAAGCTTGTCCAACGGTTTCAAGACTTAGGATATCAGACAGCAAGGATGGCCTGGATACCGTCACAACAGTGACCCTATTCGCGAGGACAATCCGTACATCATTGTCCAGGCGTTTGACAAACAGAATGCATATGTAGACAGGCCAGCCCTGCCGCAAACGCCGCTGGTGGCGAGACCGTATGAGCAGGGAATTCTTGATGCCAACTATGACTCATCGTGATTTCATGTGTGTTGGGACCCTGAAAGCACTGACTACCACAAAAATCTCCGGACCCTTTTCTCCATTTCCTGATTTCGAACACTCGTTGAAGTTCTTGGATTGCTGCTAAATACTTTGGCCCCTGACCTCCGGTCACACAATCGTCTACGTGAACCCCATAGATACCTGTCAATTTTCCTTCTTCCCGAAAGTAGAACAAACAAGAATCGAATCGAGACCTTTCGAAACCAACCCGAATAAGCTCTTGATACAACTTCTTATACCAAGCTGCCGGTGAGTCGTTCAAACCATAAACATGTCCACAGATTTCGATCAGGGCATCCTCGGGAACACCGGGAATTCCTCCCTGTAAAGGGGTCGATGCCGTTGTGGCAGATCACCTGCCGCAAGGAATGCACCTTTGATGTCTCCCAACGACATGCTCCAGCGAAAAGACGAAATAAGAAGAAAGATCAGATTGCGTCCGACCTGACTCAAGGTGGGACTCTGAAGATCACTTTGCATGGCCTTCTCACTGAGGTCTGGACCCAAGTGGCCCTGAAGGCGCCAACGTGCTTTCATGCACGGCGCCGAGTCGTCTTCTTGTTTCACTGTAACCCATGATTCGGTGGCTGTGATGTTTACGCACCCCCTCGGCTTCAGGTCCTGAGACTAGTCTAGCTGCACGCTTGGCTAGGATGGTGTTCCACTCCAAAAGCTTGGCCTCGTCGATCTTAATTTGGATTTCAGTCGGATTGCCTGACACTGGAAGCTCTTTGGCGGCCTTCGTTTTGAGGTATGTTCCAACAAGAACTTCATGTGATGCCCCTCACGATACATGGAGATCAACTGGTTTATCACCCTGTGAAGGTTATCACCCTTGGGGTCATACTGTTGCTGTTGTAGGACCTCGACTGAACATATGGCTACCTCATCCTTGGCGAAGGTGTTGCCGGCTTGTTCTACCAGAAGGCTATCGTCCATGTCATGTGCATGGTCATGTGCGGCTGACCGTTTGCCTGCTGGCTGCTCGGGGCCACTGGTGTCTTCGACCATGCGCTTTTGGCCCCTCCGTGATTCTACTGTGGAACTCGGCTCAACCGGTTCCGAGGCGGATGACGCATTTGGTGTGGTCTCCATGGCGTGTTGAATGAGGTGAGGGACGAGTTCCTGCATCGTATCTAGAAAGTCATCTTGCGCCATACGACCCGGCCGGTACAGAGCGGATGCTCCGTCCTTGTACAAGATGCGCCGTCGGACTGGCCGGCCAGGCCCATAGCCTGTGGTTGGATCTATCGTGTCCGCATTAGGCGGTGGCTGTGGGATTGTCCTAGATGGTCGAGCCGCTGGCAGCTCCTCGTGGACGGTTGTGTCGTCAGTACCTACGGGGGTGGACAGTGGAGGTGGACTATGGCCATCACTAGATACCGTCCTAGCAGGTCTAATCGAAGGCTGCTGAGTGTCGACAGGGCTCTCTTCCACTGGTAGCGGAGCAGCATCCGTCTCCGGCATTGGTGGCTCGCTCGGGTAGCTCTCTGGCACTAGAAGAACTATGACAAACATAAAGGTAAAGTGAATGAAACACGAAGAACTAAATATAAAGAACATGAAGAATATAGAAAAGCAGGAACAAATACAAAACTATCGTGATAAGTTGCCTTTTGTAATGTATGTAATTCATCAATGAAGGCCAATGTTATTCAATACATTTAAAAACGGAGAAGCATAAAAGGAATTTAGGAACGGTTGATGGATAGGATTTGGAAAATTAAAGAGGTAATAATGCGTTTGACTGAAAAATGAATGAGGTAAATATGTTTTGACTGCTATGATTTTGAAAAATTGAATGAGGTAATTGTGTTTTGACTGCTATGACTGTGAAAAATGAATGAGGTAAGTGTGCTTTGACTGCTATGATTTTGAAAAATGAATGGGTAATTATGTTTTGATATTGTTAAGAAAATGAAGCAATGAAAAATATTTAAACTGATTTTTTTGGACTGTTATGTTGTTTTTGAATAAATTTTGATGTGTTATACTGCTATGATATTAGTTTAGACAACTTCACTCAATCAACTTGTTTTTACATTTTTTGGGTGCTGGTGCTGCTGCCGGGTGTGGCTTGGATGCTGGTGCCGCTGCCAGATCATGTCTACGTCGAATGAAGGGAAGTAAGGTGAACAACGCACTTGGGCGCTACTTGACGAATATCTTGTTCGAACTGGGGTCTATGCTCGCATAGTTTTTGTGCTGCTTCACTGAGGTAGATGAGCGAGCCATGGGTAGTAGAACTTTTTCATGCATGGATAGAACAAAGTACTCCCACGAAAGTTAAGCATGGAGTTGGCGAAAGTAAAGACGTGTTGGTTAAAAATTGCGTTTCAGTAAGAAGGATTTTTGATCAACCCATGTTGTTCATGAGAGCTTGAGACAAGGAATTTTTTGTGACGGAGATTTTGAGATCATTGATGTCCCACTCCATTTTCGGAGGGTTGGACAGCCAAATTTGTCCTTTGGATTTGAATGGTCAAGTATATTCAGCTTGCCGTGACAGACACCGCTTGACGTTCATCAGGCTCCACGTGAAACCAAACCTACGGCGAAAGAAGCTGTGATCAAAGATCAGGATCAGGTGCAGAAGCAGAGCAGTTTTGATATCTTGAGGTTTAGGCATTGCCTGAACACGTCACTGACCATTTGTCATGTCCAACGTGAGGTGAGAGATTCCCGCAGCTCAACCACTACATCATCTCTTTGGGGTGAGAAGGAGATGAACAGAGACGAAAGTCTAGTGGTGAACTCATTGGTTCCACATGGTTTCACCACGGGCTCTCTGGAAGATTAAGATGGACACACAGAATTCAGGAACGTGACAAAATGAGGTGGCCTGCATGAGTCATCCAAAAGCAGTACAGTTGTGGCGTTCCCCTTTTGCCCGGCGGTATCCTTTTTTCAGTCACGCCTCACCACGTCACCTGGGTTTGGGTCTCGAGGAAAATGAAAGAGCAGAGCTCCAGCGAAACGAGCATATCGAGAGCCAGAATTCTCAGGCTGCGGAAGCCTTCGACAAGGCAAGTTGGAAAGGAATGTCCTTTCCCCATGTTTCCCCCTTTTTTCTCGCTCTCTCTCTCTCAATTATATGTACATTATATATATCGCTGGATCGTTCATGCATGAGTGAGGCAGTCGCTCCGTTGATTGCAGATATTGGCGAGGCAGGCCCTTACAGAGATGTCATCCTCCAAGTTTGGCTGCCAAGAAGTGCAAAGTCAGTTTCCAACCCAGTAATTAGCAATGGCCTCCGACCTACTAGCGATGGCCTGCAACTTACTAGCGATGGCCTCCAACCTAGTAGCAATGGCTTCATTCCGCTATTTGCTTCGGTTGAAGGCAAAGCATGCCCTCAGCGAAGGCTATGATTGTGAGGATGAGAAGGTGCCCAAGCTACTGCGCTTGATAGCAGCTTGCCTATGAAACCCTGGTGAGGGGCTCCGTGCCAATGAGTGGTCATCGGAGCACATTGAGTATTGCTGTCAAGATCTCAGTGCGGGGTCGAGCTCGTGCTTGAAGTTCATGAGGCCCCATCATGTCAAAGACAATCAACATTCCGCAAGAAAGATGTTTCTGATAGTGTTTCTGATATATTTTCGTGCAAATGAAGGCTGCAAAAGAGCTTGACTTGGAGTATTGTGCCTAGGTGTGAACAACGACGTCGGATGTGATGCTATTCCCTCAGCTTGTATGTTTGCTCCCATGGTCCCATGGAGCAGTGCTTAAGCCACCAAGGCCCTGCCTTCGGCCAACTGCGACAGCCCTGAAGCGATCACAGACTGGACAGGGATGTCCTTCAAGATTCTGCAGTGACCTGCAGTGTGAGTGTCTAAAGAATGGGATCTCTTATATATCTTATATAATTGAATCCAATTGCTGGGGTTATATAGACTCTAGACAAAAATTTGTTGACAATCTGTTGGCAGGACTGGTTGGACAGAATCCTGCAACGAGTGTGGAGGGGGACGCAAGTATCGGTATCGCAGGAGGGGCACCGGAGTGACATGAGGTGAAATTGAGTGAAATGAAGTGAAAGACAGAGACACAAAACGGAGGTGAAGCATGACCCTTGACATCATTCGACCTTTGCATACAGTCTGTACAGTTTGCTACCACGATCCACCGTCTAAAACCAACCTCTGAATATTGGGAACATCTGGAAACGCCAGAAGGTCCGGAATGCAATATGCTTATCACGTTTGCAGCAAGCTTTTTGTGTTTTGGAGATGGTACGTAGGTGGCGGCCCGCTTTCAGACACTGTGATGCCGCAAATTTGCCAAGGTGCCTTTGAAAGCTTCAACATTAAAGCATACACGATGCTAAATCACATGCATCAACAATGGTTTAACATGGTGCGAGAGTCCACAATCATCACTTCCCATGTCAGGCATGTCCACTTCAGAGATGAAGAACCTTGCCACGAGGTTGATGTCAATAAGTTTGTGCAGCCCACTGAGATCTCCTCTTCAGTGCCTGATGTGCCCAGAGTTCTTCACATTCAGTCAGGTTGGAATGGTCACACTGGGGTGCCTTGGCCTGTTTCACAAAAGGATGGAATGCCTCGACTCGATTTTGCCAGGACAATGCAGTGTGAGCTGCGGCTACGGCTATCGCGAACGGGCGAATTGACTCAAAGAAACGGAGAAACGACACGTGACACAAAGACACAAACCGACGCGTTGTTTTTTTAAATGTTTTTTTGGTGCGGCCTGAAACACCATGTGAAGTACACAAACCAGCTGAGGTTCGAGAGATGACGAAGCTGGCCTTTCAATGCCATTTGGATCGGACCTCAATATAAAGAGACAGATGAGCACTGAAGTCTTTCAGCATTGTTCAGCACCTTCTTCCAATTGGCTACTGATCAGAGACACTGTCAGGATGGAGCATTTCCCTTGAAGGGGACAGTGCCATGTGAACGACCGCCGTGCATGCACAGCCAATGATGCTGGGCAAGATAACGTGAAAGGATCTCATTTGCAGGCTCACCCTAGTTTGATGAAAGCTGCGGAGAGCAGTGAGACCTTGCGCAAGATGTAGGCCAGTAGTTAGATTCGACAAGCCACACACAGCGCCTCTAAGGTAAGAAGTTGCCAAGCACTGGTAAGTAGAAGACTCAGGTAAGTAGTAGTTGAAATCTAAGACTTAACCTTTCAGGTTGAAAGGCATGGAATGGAAAGGCATGGAAAGGCATGAGGCATAGGCTTGCCGACCCAAGACTCATTTTTCACGCCGACTCTGCGCCCAAACATGACCCAAAGAGTGTGACATCATGTGACATTAGCGCGCTTCAAGAGAAGCGCTTTTGGGTCAAAAGGATCACCAAAGAGTGTCCTGAAGAGACTTTTCGATACTTTTCGTAGGTCAAAAGGCAGAGTCGTTTACCTACGAGACAGTGACTCACAAACTAGGAGTCGTGCATCTTATGAAAAGCCATGAGAAGCCAAAAGCCATTGGTCATTTGGTTTTCGACTCCGCCCTCACAGTACCGAAGATCATCATCCTCAGCAAGCAGATCAGATCCAGGAAGACAGGAGTTGATCGATGAGTGCCCTTGGGCCCATGTCATTGATGGCCTAGGAGCAAGGACGCTACTAGGAGCAAAGGGCATCGCTACTAGGAGCAAGGACGCTACTAGGGGCTCCTGGCCTTACTACTAGGAGCAAGAACGCTACTAGGAGCAAAGGGCCACGCTACGAACGGGGCTAGCCTGGAATTGGACTAGTTTGGATCGTTTGCAGAAAAACCTTGACAGGCACCTGTCTTTGATTGCTGGCGGCTAGTCAGCTCTGCACTTGAGGTCAGGTCTGATGTTGCACACAAAATGAAGTCGACGGAACTTGCAGATTTATACTAGACGACGAGTGCCGAAAGCATTTTTCATCACGTAGGAAGTCAGAGTGCGAGTCATCTGTCAAGTGTGCGGTGTGAAGTGTTACGTAGGTTTCCTGCTAGTAGCTAGTAGCTTAGTGGCTTCAGCTAGATGTCCACACTTCATGCTTTGGTTGAACCTGGAACAAGACGTCATGAACATGTGAAACATGTGACGTGAACGGGTCATGGAGATTCTCGGTTGCGGAGAGCATGCCCAAATTGGAGAGATAAAAGGTGCCCATCATGATGTTCGATGATCTAGGTAATCGACATAGGTGTGTAGTTGTGTTATTCATGGAAACCCTCCACCAATGGGTCGTGGTCTATTGTCCTTCCAGGGGGTCAAACGGGGGTCTCCTGCAGACTCCATGACACGTATTCGCACCGAGTGGAGTTGATTCGGCGAAACGAAACGAAACGAAACGAAACGCGAAACGAAACGCGAAACGAAATACGAAACGTAGGTTCCCTGGTAGTAGGTTCTTGTTACTAGTAGTACGGCCAGGAGCCCCTAGTAGCACACGATCAATGTATTGAATGTTAACAATTCTACGCTCCACTTGTGAACGTGGCCTGTAAGTCCAGTGGCAAGGACGCGCGCGCTTCGGCTTTTTGATGCTTTTTGCCACATGGGAGCTTTGACTTTGATTTAGCATCAGGCAGTTGGGCCACAGTCGAGAACGTTGGTCTGCGGATTCGATCAGCGGCCTTACTACTCTAGCGGTGACAGCCCAGCTCATCGTCGTGAGCATGTGAGCTGCTGGTAAGGGGAAAAGCAGCGTGCACGGCTGCAGTGAATCTCACCGGAAAAAGCGAGCTGGAATGAACACAGAAAATGCAAGTCGCCAGTTCTCAGCTTCCAGCTCCAAGCGTACTAAAGTTGTACTACAAAGTCGCCAGTTCTCAGCTTCCAGCTCCACACATTGCTCCGCGTACTCAAGTTGTACTAGAAACTCGCCAGTTCTCAGCTTCCAGCTCCCCAGATACTCCGCGCACTCCAGTTGTACTACCCACTCGCCAGTTCTCATCTTCCCACTCCCCAGCTACTCCGCGTACTACAGTTGTCCTACCACGTCGCCAGTTCCCAGCTTCCAGCTCCCCAGCTACTCCGCGTACTAAAGTTGTACTACAAAGTCCCCAGTTCTCAGCTTCCACCTCCACGGCTTGCTCCGCTGCTACACGAATCGCGCTCTCGCCTGCATTTCGCGCACTCGGCACGCACGATCTCCGCAGAGGGTCGCGCGGTAATTTCACACATCGCACTCTCGCCTGCATTTCGCGCACTCGGCGCGCACGATTTCCGCAGAGGGTTGCGCGGTAATTGCACCAATCGCGCTCTCGCCTGTATTTCGCGCACTCGACACGCACGATCTCCACAGAGGGTTGCGCGGTAATTTCACGAATCGCGCTCTCGCCTGCATTTCGCGCACCCGACACGCACGATCTCCGCAAAGGGTCGCGCGCACACCGGACGAATCGCGCTCTCGCCTGCATTTCGCGCACTCGACACGCACGATCTCCGCAGAGGGTCGCGCGCGCACCGGACGAATCGCGCTCTCACCTGCATTTCACGCGCTTGACACGCACGATCTCCGCAGAGGGTTGCGCGCGGACCGGACAAATCGCACTCTCGCCTGCATTTCGCGCACTCGACACGCACGATCTCCGCAGAGGGTTGCACTTTCGGTTGACGCTGTTCGTCCCACCCTCCGCCTTTAAGAGAGAATTTATAAAGTGGGGAAATGTTTTTTCATTAGGACATCTCCCGTGCTAGTTTTCCATACTCACACTTGCCTACTCATGGCATGCTTGCATACTCATTGCATGCTTGCATACCCATCACTTGCATACTTGCACTGCATGCTTGCATACCCATCACTTGCATACTTACACTGTGCTTGCATACCCATCACTTGCATACTTACACTGCATGCTTGCATACCCATTACTTGCATACTTACACTTGCATACTTTGACACTTGCATACTTTGCACTTGGATGCTTTCGCTCTTCCACTTACACTGTGGTGGAAGTGTCAGTGTGTAAGTGTAAGTGTCGAAGTGTCAGTGTATGTAGTGCAACTGTGGTAGAAGTGTCAGTGTGTAAGTGTAAGTGTCGAAGTGTCAGTGTTCAAAGGATTTTCCGGAAGAACCCTTCGCAATGCTTTCGGGAACAAATAAAAGGAATTAGATCTGATTAGCTGGTCGGGATCATACTCTTGTGCCCAATGCTATACGTATGTTCCAAGAAAACATATTGTGGGATTTGAAGCTAATAGACACCAACATATTTGCCCTTCCCATTGTGTAAAGACACATTCATAACGGACACCGACCCTGTGTCAATCTCAAATCCCTGCTGCCACCAGTGTGCCAACATTTCGCTTGGTAACGAGCGCACAAGCTTCGACCGCGCCGATCGCTTCGCTCCAAGTGACCGATCTCGCCTGTGGTGAAACACCAGCTAGAAAGGGTTCCGAAAAGCGAAGCCACAACAAACTTGGCATGAAGTTAGAGTATATTTAAGTAATATAGTTATATATAGTTATGTGTATCTATAATTATATATTGTGATTGCTTCAGGTCAGATTGTCAGATAGAGACTCTGTCAAAGACTGTGGGACCTTTGCATGAAATCAGGTACTTCGCCCCTGGTACCGCCAGCATCCAAGCGAGACAAACACCGCAAGTCCAATGTCAATGTCGAAACACAATCGCAGTAGCTCTAAACATGAAGTTTGTGCCAATCACATACAGTATGACTGGTACATACTGGTACCCTTGTAGCTGGGGAGCCTAACATGTTCCGATGATTTGAACACCAAGTTAGTCTTGGAGCTGCCACTCGACAATGGAGGCACATTGCAGGCGCAATTGGGCGTATGCATTGTTGTAGTCTCCACGCATTTGGAACACCGAAGCATTGACGGACCACCTCAACCTCTGTATTGGGCAGTTCAACTTACCACTTCTTCATTCTTCATTTCTCACCAAACATCCGATTTACTGTAAGAGTCTGTAAGCAAATGTACGAGAAGATGATAGCTGGTGCAATCTATTTTGCAGTTGGATGGTAGGGATAGCGGATGAACACTGAAGAACCATCTCTCTTGGTTTGTGCTCCAGCTGTGACCGATTACTTGTGTCAGGTGACTTCTCATGTGGCATCTGAACGTGAAGCACCACCTGGAGCACCACGGGGTTCCTTTCAGGAGAAGAGATCTCTCAGGTTCTTTCTTTGACCAAATCCACTCATATTTCACATTGCATGAAATGGGTGCGCCTTCGTTGATGATGTGACGTTTTTGTTGCTTTCTTGGAGTTGAGACGATTCTGGAATACGACTTCCAAAGCGGTATCAAAAGGAGTGGCGCTGTTTGCGCTTTCTGAGTAGCCCCTCGGCATGGTGAAATTAGACACGAAAGCTGTTCAAGTGCTTGTCGAATTGGACGAATTGGACATGTTCTTTAAAATCAATCCATTTTTCAAGTGCCAGGTGGAGGCCTCATCCAAAGTGTTACGAAGGCTCGGATCCCGCCGCGGATGCCTGCCAGAGATCCAAAGAGCTCACGAACACGGTTCAAGTGCCGTTTGAGTGCTGTCCGGGTAGATCTACCAGGTGGTGGTATCTCCAAATGAGACCCTGGCCAAGATGCGAGGCTACGTGGTGCCTTTGGCCTACACCAAGGCTCTGAATGTTCTATATCTTCTATCAGGTCCAGACAATGCAGCGTCAGCAGGTTGAATTGTCAATATGTGCAACGCGTCCCATTAGAGTCTTCCCCCAATCTTAGACACAGCTATGTCCTTAGCTCGATCTGGCACGCCTGCGGGTCCGCAGTCCTTCGCGACCGTGGTCCTCGCAGCCTTGTCGGCCATTGGAGCACCGGTGGCGAAGAAGAAGTCCAAGGACTGAAAGTATGGATGTGCCTCAAGAGGTCCTCAACTTAAACATCCCAAATCTAGAAAGCTGTCTGAAATTGTAGGAGCCCTTGCGGTTCCTGTGCATTGGACTCGGTGGCGGATCTGTACCGCTCCATCCTCAGATCCGATGAAGGAACACAGCGAGACCGATGGACCACTAGAAGACACCCATTCCTGCAGGACCTTTTTCGCGGAAAGTCTGCCACATTGCCAAGTGGATGTGGTTGAGCTGGAGCCAACAGCCCCCACCTCAAGAACCCTCTCTCGTGGTCAGCCAGTCAGTTTTTACCAGAATTCTGTCTCAAATGTCTAAGGTAATCCATGCTGCGAAGCAGGTGCGCTTGGATTGCAAGTGAACATGCATGATGGACATGAGACGACACATCCACTTGCTGACAGGGTATGGGCTTTGCTGAACGCTCAAACATGAGGGTGATCCTCGAGGCATCATGCAACATATGTTAGGCTTGAGGAACAGTTCTGTTGTAGCAGGCAATATGTTGTTCATTTGATCTCTGCAATTCTATGTGAGAGTGCGCCTCATTGACAGGATGGCGCAACGTTTGCGCAGAGAGCTGTCCGTGAGCAGGCGCCATGTCACACGCCTGGGAACAAAACTGTTTTTGTTTGCCCTTCTCCCATTGAGGCAGACGACGCGCAAGAGAAGGGCATCTACGATGCAGTTGCTTGGTGCCAGTGAAAGCCGAAACCCCGCACAGTCAAGACCCTGAAGTACATTGCGTGGCATGGATTGGCAAGGTTCTGGTTGATGCGTATGATCCAGTTGGCAATGTCCCGGCACCCTTGTGGAGAAGGTGCAAACACATCATGAAGTGTTGACAGCATTTCAGATGATTCTGGAAGATTTCGCTGATTTCGCTTCACCACAACATGATTTTTTATTTTCGTTTGGCCAAGCTTTGCCCAAAAGGCATATACTTTTTCAGGCGCGAAGGCTTGGCTGAAGCCTTGGCCGCTGGATTGCTTCGGCCAAGGGGTGTAGTTGCAACAAATTTCTTACCACATGTAGACCTGGCCATGACCTCAGTGACCTGTGACTTGGTCGCAACTTGACCTTGAACCGCTTTGCTTGTCACATGGCATCATAGGCTGCTCCATTGGAAGCCTATGGTGATGCTTTAGCTTCCAGGGACACCGGCATCAGTTTTTCCATTCAGGCTGCGGGATATGAGCTCACTAATTAGTTTCAATTTCAACAAGCTTTGCTGCTTCGGGAGGTCAACAAAGCTATCAAGGCTGACAATGACCTGGATAAATTCTTTGACTCAGCCGGACACTTTGGCAAAACTTTGACATTCGAAAGGATTTCACTGTTGATATCAATTTCTTTCAGGTGGAGGGCACCGGAAACCGCTCTTCGCTCAGATGCATTTTCCCGCCCGAAGCACAGCTCCACGCCGCTCATTGATCACCAGGTATTGCCCTCCATGTTTGTGGAGCACCGCAGCTTGCTCAGCTGAAATTGGCTTGTTGCACTGGGTGCTGTAGCTGGCGCTTCAGGCCAGAGCTGGCAGATGGGCCGCTTGCAAATTTGGAAGAGCGGCTTCTACAAGAAGCCAAGAAGGCATCGATATGTAGATTGAAGAAGAAACTAAGTTCGGGTATCCATTGTTCTGCAAGAGTTGGGATCTAACTGTTGGGCACTGTACCCTTTTTGGACTTGGCAGGTGGGGAAAGCCACAGGTTGTCTTTGGGACATGCCAGATCTGGCTTGTTTTGCACTTAGCTCACTAGATTAATGGAAGAATCCGATTGGAATGAATTATATCCTGAGGTAGAGGCTTACGCACTTGGAAGACACAAACCAAACAAGACATAAATCTATTTACGATTTAAAAAAGTAAACTAAACATAACTAATAAACAACATGTAATATTTACTTGAAATCAATTTTGATTCTTACTGGACAGCAATATATATATATATATATAGACTAAGAAGAATACAACAATTTGCCTTAACATCTGTATTCCTGACGCTTCGCGTCGACCGCCGCCCACACCTTCTTTTTTTTCGGTCGCCTGGGGAAAGACTGCTGGAGTGGACAGGGGAGGTCGGGAGTGGTGTCCAAAGAGATGGCTTGTTTGCCGCAGCATTTTGGTTGAGCAGAGGGTGTAGAGGACACAGTGTGGACAGGGGATGTACGCACAAGTTCGCTCGTTTGGTGGCCATGTTAAAGCCAATTCAGGCTCCAAGTTCGACCATTTTGTGGCCTTGCCCCCGCTTGGCTAGTCCACATTACATCATGTCAAGGCTAGCTTGATCGTTTGGTGACCATGTGTTGAGGCTACGTTTGTTTTTTGCAATAATGCTGGTTATGCGTTGCTGGTCAGGAGGGTTTTTAAGCATCGTGGGTGTCCGTTTTTTGGGTTGTTTGGGTTGTTGCAGAAATGTCGCAACGAAGCCCAAAAAATAGTCCAAAAATGTACCTCCAAAACGCTCTCCCCCATGGCCCTCGAGGCGTAAGACGTTTTTCACCGAAAAAAAGGGCCCCTCCCCCCCTAGCAGAGCTATGAACTGATTACGATGTGATGATGACGATGATTCCAGCTTGACCCGCCCCTAACACGCCCTGCACCGCAAGCGGTGTGGGCGGATTTCAAGACGCGCATCCAGAACAATAACAACAGAGGAACAACACAACAACAAAAGCAACAAATTACACAAACCAAACAAGCAACGCAGGAACACAACAGAGACCTGAACAGGAAGAGAACATGAAAACGAGGGCAAATAAACCTGAATTACACAGGATGAATATCAGAAAACGCCTTGACACTAGGAACAGCGACAATGTTTGCAATCTTTTGAGCAACGCATCCTCGGACAGCAGGATGACACCAATAAGAGGACACGATCAGAGGACAAGGGCACTAAGAAGAGAACAAAAGGAAGACAACAGGAGAACAACATGCGGACACAGCGTTCGCCCTGGCGGCAATAAACAACAACGGGACGGAGAAGAGAACAAGAAAATAGCAGGAGGACACACACACACAGCAACAAGAGGGCACAGCCAGAGGACCACAGGAAGACAAGAAACGGGCAACAGACAAGAAGAGGATAAGAGGGACAACACGCGGGCAAAGTTTTTGCCGCGACCGACCGAGGGACACCAGGAAGGTAAGCTACGAATCGCCAGGAATTCACCAACGGGACAACTGGAGGACAACAGGGGGAGACTTATACAAGGAAATAGTCACCAGGAATAGGTGATTTTCTTTAATGCAAAATTAGAGATAGAAAATCCACCATTGATTGACTACCATGTTTATAGTTGCCTCTTGGCAGGCATCCGGTAAAACTAAATAAATGCATTAATTTATTTTTGGCCCTACAGGTTAATGCCTTAACGAACGCATTCTTCATTTATAAGAAACAGACATTAATTCATTTATATTTATATGATTTTCTATTAAAAATAAATGGGAAGGACATATAAAGAAACATAGAAACATTTTAATATCTCTTATAATTTTTGGTTTTATGATTCATTTAGTCATTTTATTCGGTCCCTTTATTACATTCAATGGAAAGATATGGGCCGTTTTTTTGTATTAATGAATGAATGAATAGGAAATCGAGGGTGAACAATCTCATAAAGACAACTTACGATATCTTCCTCGATTTCTAGGATTATTTTTTACTGTAGGAATCTTCTTTATTAGTGGTGGATTTTCTAGAACTGTAAAATCCTAAGTGCCAACAAATATAATGAAGAATCCTATAGGCATAAGAGATAATAAAGAATCCTAAGGGTGTAAGAACGAACAATGGATTTCTTGTTTTCATTTGTTTTTTTATTTGGTGACCTGATGATCCAAAATACTTGGTGGCCTGATGATTGGAGAGGATTGGAGAAGAGACCATGAGGTAGAATTAGGAACCCAAGAAACATCGACCAAAAGAAACCATGGACCCGCTTTAGCCCAGCTTAAACGAGAGGATGACTGCGATTGGTGGATCCATTTCCTTGGGGAGCCACAAATCAAGGGTTAACCGATGGGGCAGGCACAGTGGCTCGCCTGGGATTCCTTGGGCCCCTTCTTGGATCTGGGGCCTATGAACCTAAGGATTGTTAACGCCTGGATGCCACTCCAAGATCTACCAGATCCAAGAAGGGGCCAAGGAATCCCAGGCGATGGACAAAAGGTGGGGCACAAGGAGGAGTCTTCATTCTAATTCTCAAGCTTATGGCTGACGCTTCCATAGGCCAAGAGTAGGGGGCCTAGATCCAAGAAGGGGCCTGGTCAGACACGGCGGCTGTAAGCGAGGGAAAGGTCGTCCTAAGGTAGCAAAGTTCCTTGACAGGTAAGTTCCGTCTAGATGAGCGGTGTAAGGACTTCCTCACTGTCATTACCCTCGTCTCTCAGAAATTGAGTTATCCTTGATTACGAAGAAGCCAACGGCCTGACAATAAGACCTTGAGCACCTTCACTGACTTGGGGCGCCCTGCTCTTGGCCTGGCGGTTGACCCACCTTAGGTTTTATTGTAAAAGAAAATCCCAATCATAAAGGGTTAGCTTATAGGGGCTAGAACGTCCAGGGGCATCAATCTCATAACATGAAAAACGAGGATGAGATTGACGGGGCATAGTGGCTCGCCTGGGATTCCTTGGGCCCCTTCTTGGATCTGGGATTGAGAGGGATGAACCGACGTGAAGGTACTATCAAAATCTTTTTGATTTATTATTTGCACCTGTATATCAAGGATTATCCAAATTATCACGAAAGGTAGCGGTTACGCTACCTGAGTTTTCCTTTTGCTTTAGCAAAAATGTATTAACCCAGAGCTGTAGCCTATCTCTCGGAGAAATGGTCCCCGACATCTTCGTTTGCTGGCGGGGGGGGGGGCCCCCCCTGAAAAGTAGAGCCTACCTGTACAGGGTTCCACTCCAACAGCTGATATAGTGTGTCCATGCTTGACTGCTTCAAGGCTCAAGAGAGGGTCAATGGACCTAAAGAGCAAGAGGATAAGACTCTGCGCATAAAAGACACTAGCGGTCTGCACCTCTACCGTGTACGCCCTAGTCACTCTTTCAGTGGTAGCGGAGCAGTGATCCTGGAAGACCCAGGTGAGCTCCTTTCCTAGGCATAGAATTGCTTGTGGGCAAACGGCCATGGATTGGATTGACGACTGGGAAGAGCCTGATGCGGATGTGGCTTATGAGCCAGCAGCCTACGTGAATAGGCATGTGAGAAGAGAACCAGCAGCAATAGCAATGACAACACAGGTCACCACAAAGGTGCCCCCATCTTATGATGGAAAGACTTCATGGTTTTCTTATGAGGATGCCATAGACGATTGGTGTGATATCACCGAGCTGGAAGATGAGAAGAGAGGACCAGCTTTGAGAAACAGATTAGAAGGAGAAGCAGCAGTATACAAACGTGTATTAGACAGAGACTCATTGAAGGCTAATGAGCCACCAGGAGCAGGAGTAGATTACTTCAAACGAGTACTACGACCATATTTCGTGAAAGGATCAACCAATGTATTCCTATACAGGTTTATGCAATTCGTGCGATTCAATCGAGGATTAGCTGACATGATGAAATGGATGACAAGATTCCAGATTTTACTCCAAAGGCTTATGAGCAGTTGGATGGATATGTTAGAACCAGTCACTCAAGCACATCCCCAAGTCCTTGCTCAGATGCAGGCAGATGCAGCGTTGACGGGAGTAGCACCAACGGCAGAAAGGATTCAGGAAATCATGCAGAATGTCAATGGCAATATGAGAATTCTTCATCAGAATGATTTTCTTTTAGGAGAGAATCTCATTGCCTTACTCATGCTGTCACTTGTAGATTTGTCTCAGGACCAGCGAAACACTTTGACTTCGTTGATGACTCATCGTGGCAGGGTCCTGCAGCAATACACTACAACAGAGTTGAGGACAGTGTTCATCGAGATGTTCTGCACAACAAAGACTTCAGTAGACAATCCTTTGATGCAGCCGACAGGTGCTGGAGGTAGAAGATCATTTCTCGTACTAGACGAAGGAGAACTCGATGGTACATTTGGCTATTGGGCCGAAGATGAAGAAGATGGAACAGAAGGATTTTTAGATGCCCTGGACGATGTCTTTTGGGTATATGATGATCAAAACTTCTCGTGGTTCCAAAGGAGATTCCAAGGAAGAAGAGCCAGAAAAGGCAAAGGAAAAGGAAGAAGAAAAGGAAAAGGAAAAGGAAGATCAGGCCGTAGATTCTTCAGACCTCGTGGAAAAGGAAAAGGAAAGAGACGAGGTAAAGGCCATTTTGCTGATGAGCAACAGACAACTTTTCTAGATGAATACCTTGAAGAGAATCCTTATGAGGACACTTGGGAGTCAAACCAAGGAGCATATGATGCCATTCTTGCCGAGGATATGAATGACTATCTTCAAGGAGAATATGATGATGCCAATGACTTTTGGCAACAGCTTGAAGAAGCATGGTTTTCCCACAAAGGAAAAGGAAAAGGCAAGAGAAAAGGCAAGAAAGGAAAAGGAAAAGATAAAGGAGATGGCAAACAAGATGCAAACGATGCAAATCAACAACAGTCACGTTCTTTACCTGCACCTTCAAGAACTTCACAAGCATCAGGAGGTCAACAAGGTTTCTTTGCACATTGTGTGACAGCAGCAGCTGAAGTCCATGACAGTGAGGTGGACTTGCTGTCAGGCATGATGACCTCATGCCAAGATGAAGCTGACTGCGTGGTCAACAATGGTGAGACGATCTTCGATGACATGAGTGCCCCTGTGAGGTACTCTTTGTCAAAGGAGATGCTCACAAAGGCTCCTGATGGCTTTGCGCTTATGAGCGCTGATGGCTTTGCGCTTATGAGC